GTGACTTAACAGAATTTCTTTGTATTTTTAAAGAGCTTAGCATAGTTTTGGAAAGGAAATCAAAATAAAAATAAATAACAAACCTTATTTTTTAACTTACCTTTTTAATTCAGATTCCAATGTCTGAAAGTGGTGAAACTGCAATCTAAAATAGATGCAGTCTTCTACTATCATTCTTTTCGTCAGAAACTGTATATTTCTAGCTACTAAAACATCTTATTCTATATGTTAAAATTCTACTAAGAAGTTATATGTTAGATAGAGAGTATTAGGATAGGAATTTATAAATGAAATAGATATAATATTTAAATAAAGTTACAATATTATTTTATAAAAATTTTTTGTATTACATATTTAAAATAAACTAAGCCACTATATTTCATATGATATTAAATTCATATTAATGTAAGATTTTACTATAACTAGTCTTCTATCCTCTACCCCCTAAAATATTACTTAATAAATGTCATGGCCTTTAGTTAAAGATTTTATTAAGTTATAAATTATTCATTTTTATTAAATTTTTTTAAAAACACAATTTTTATGTGTAAAAATTTAATTAGTCATATAATGTTAAAAAATAATCAAAAATTTCATTTTTTTAAATTGAAAAATTCAGATCATTGATTAGGTCACACAATTTCATCAGATAATAATTATCAATATGAGTTTATATTTCTGTGAATATGATCCATTATTTAGAAATTATCTCTATTTGTTTATTATCAGTTGGCAATGCATATGAAGCTTATTCTTCTGAAATCTGATCAAATCCAAATGATTAGAAGTGAATTAATTTAATAATATCAAAATTAACTTAAATTTAACTATCTGATTTCTAGCTGATTTAGATTATTTTGATCAGTATTATCTTTTTTTATTTTACCTGCATCTTTTATTGAGAAATACTATGTAAATAAAATAGATCAATTGAAATAATATGAACTTCTGTTTATATTTTACAGACCTGTTTTTGTGTTTATATATCTAATAATATATCTATTAATTTGTCTTTTATATATATATAAATTTACAATTATAATCTATCTTTTGTAATAACTATTATACATTTTCTTTGTATTTCAAAATAAAATGAATATAATTCATATTTTTTATCTTTTAATTTATTAGGTTTATATTATTTTAATGATAAAATCAAAGAATTATAAAAATATTTAATATAAAAATGGTTTTATTTTTTTTTAAAAAATTTTGTATGTGAATAGTTATTATTTGATATAAATTTTTCTTAAATCTAAATGATAATAATGATTTTTTCACAGCTTTTAAATTTTATTACATAATATTTTTTCTAGCTATTAAAGTTTCATTAATAAATTTATCAATTATATTTGCAAGTACTTTATTATGTATATCTTTAAGATATAATCCTAATCATATGACTGTTTGAAGAAATTTATATTCTTCCTATTATATAATCTCTATAATATTTGTCTTCCTTTTGTTAAAATCTTTTTCTTCTTTTATATTTACCAAAGGAGGGGGTAGACAAAAGTATTGCACGTTTTTATTTTTTCAATAATTTTTTATTTTTTACAAAAACATACAATTTTTTTTTATTTTTTGAAAATTAACATTAATATTTAGTATATCCTCTATTGGAATTGATTATAACTTGAATTCTATTTGATATTGATCGCATCAAATTTCAGTACTCTTTTTGCGATATCACATCCCATGCTTCTTTTACTGCCTTTTCAAGCTCAGAAATGCTTAAAGGTTGAAGATTGCATTTTCGAATTTCTATCTTAACTATAGATCACATACTCTCAGTTGGGTTAAGATCAGGACTTTGAGTAGATCATAGAAGTAAATCTACCTTTTGAGAAAGCAAAAATTCTTGTGAATCTTTGAAGTGTGAACTGGCGCATTATCTTCCTAAAAAATAAATGTTTTTTTATTTTTCAGAAAATTCCTCGAGGTTAGAACTGCATAAGTAGCAAAAACACCTTTGTAAACTTCTCTAGTAACTGAACTTTTAAGTGGTATAATGGGTCTTAACTTTAAAAAGAAAAAATATGCTCAAAACATCCTTTAAGGAGAATGTTTTACAGTCAATGCAATACAATTTTCATGAAATTCATCTTCTGATTCTCACTACACTCGTTCTCATCCAGATTTGTGAAATTGAGAAAAAGTGGATTTGTTTGTCTAGACTATTTTTTTTCAGTCTTCAATGGTCTAATCTTTTCTTTCCATTATTTATGCAAGTTTTTTAGTCTTATTAATTGCTAAAATTAAAGGTTTTTTTTGAGAAATACAAGAAGACACATTTTCTTTATGAAGTGTACAGCGAATAGTTCTTTTAGAGATTAGTTTATTATTTTTAACAGAAATTATTTTAGTAATATCTGCTAAATTTTTCTGTCTCAATTCTTTACTTTTGAGAACTTCAACCTTTAATCTTTGCCTTCCTTGATTATCAATTAAGCATGATCAATCTGATCATTTTTTGAAAGGTTCTTCTAATTTATAAGCTGCAAGATATCTTGAAATAGTTATTTGATAACATCCTACAGTTTTTGCAATCTCTGAATTTATGTGACTCAATTTATTGGCTGTTATTATGTCTCCTTTTTGCATAAGAGTTAATTCTTTAGCGAGGCTCATTACGTGTTTATACGCAAAGGTCAAAATTTTGGTTTTTTAAAAAGTGAATTTATTAATTGTTACACATTTAATCAAAACAATAAACAAATATCCCTTTAAAGCAATTGCTAACCTATTCGGTATAAAAATCACATGACTAGTAACTTATAAAAAATTTATTTAAATTTTTATTTTTAAGCTGTGCAATATTTTTTTTCCCCTCCTCAGTATATATAATTTAGGTTTTTCATCAAGTATTTGTGAGTTCATTATACTACTTGTCTATTTTAATAAGGTTTTAAATTCTGATCATTTGAAGTTGATATATGGGCTGATGTTACTAATAAGTTTATAGGTTGAGAATTGAAAGCTAAGAAGTTACTTCTGCTACATAAGATCCTCTTTTTACTTAGTGCTAAAGATTCAAACATAAAGGAATCTTTTTTAGTAAAGGTGATAGAAGTGGTAGTATTATCAGTATTTTGGAAAATCAACTTTGGAAAAATAAAAGATATGTTGTAAAGGTAAGAAGATGTTTTAACAGTAATTTTTTCTTGCTTTAGCCATCAATGTAAGGTATTTGATAATATTCCAAGTTTCTTAGTTGCTTGATATGCAGATAAATATATGAGAGGAATGGTGAGTATAGTTGACGATTTTCGATTTTGAATCTTATATGATTTTCATTGATAAGCATTATTAAAACAATTATTACATTACCAAAAATGCAAAGTATGCATTTTTTATTTTACGATTACTTAATAGATCAGATTTATTTGCCTAAAATAGAATCACGGCTAAATTATCACGTGATCTAATTTTAAACATAAAATCAAAATCAAAAAATAAAAAATAAAAAATAAATATAAATCAAAATGCCGTTAGTTACAGCATCTCAACTTATCAAGTTACAGTCGAAAGAAGAAAATATAAGGAATATTTGTATTTTAGCACATGTCGATCATGGAAAAACTACTCTTTCAGACTCTTTATTAGCTTCCAATGGAATTATTTCTAATAGGCTTGCAGGTAAAGTAAGATATCTTGATAGTAGAGAAGATGAACAAGAAAGAGGAATAACGATGGAAGCTAGTGGAATATCACTATACTTCAACATCTTTAGAGACTTTGTGGAAGGTCAAGGTGGTTTTTGATCCATTTTCCTTTTCTTTGAGGTCACTGAAGTTTATAAATTTGTATTAATTCTCTTTATCTTATTCGTATAAATCAAAGAAAATAACACAAACTCTGATGAATATCTGATAAATCTTATTGATGCTCCTGGACACGTTGATTTTACCAGTGAAGTCTCGACAGCATCGAGATTATGTGATGGTGCATTAATACTTGTCGATGCTGTTGAAGGAGTCTGTACACAGGTGTGATATTGGATTAACAAAATTAGATGTTTAATAGTAGTCTTTTTTTTTATCAAGTTTATTAGAATTTGTATATATTAATTAATTTTATAATAAATAAAATTTAAAAATAACGAAATTATATCAATACTTTTTTTTTTTAAAAAAAAAAAATGTTGAAAAAGACACATGCGGTTCTCCGACAAGCATGGATCGAAAATGTTCGACCTATTTTAGTATTAAATAAAATTGACCGGCTTATAACTGAATTGAGATTAACACCTCTTGAAGCATATGTTCATTTAAATAAAATTCTGGAACAAGTGAATGCTGTCATGGGAACTTTTTTTGCTGGTGATATGATGGAAGAAGAAACTAGAAGGCATGATGCTGAAAAGGTGCGGTTTAATTTTTTATATATTATTGCATATATCAAATAAGTTGAATAAATATCTATCTTCTTTGATATCCTAATAGGAAAGACTTTCGCGAGAAGGAAGTGAACAATCAGTGGAACCATATAATACATTAGAATTGTCATTGGAAGATCGTGATGATTCGAACATTTATTTTACTCCAGATTCGGGAAACGTTGTTTTTGCAAGTGCAATTGATGGTTGGGCGTTTAGGTAAGTTATCATCTCCGAATTTAATTATTCATTATGTCAAATCCTCCCCTCCAAATCAAAATCATTTGTTTACAGTGATAATCCGATCTGGGTGATAGAGTCGAACAATTCGCTCAATTATATGCCGCAAAGTTGGGCATGAAAGAAAATAAACTACGTAAAGTACTTTGGGGCGATTATTATCTTGAACCAAAAACGAAACGATTATTGCAATATAAACATTTGAAAGGTCGTCAATTGAAACCATTATTCGTTCAATTTGTTTTGGAGAATATTTGGGCAGTTTATGATTCTGTTGTTATTAATAAGTAAGTCATTATATTGTAATATCTGGGACGTTGCCAGTAAAGTCAAGTAATGAATCAGACGTAGTGATTTAACTGGCAACTCTTCCACAATTTTCAAAAAATATATATAGATATATATTTTTTATTTATCGTTATTGTTTACGTATAATAATCAAAAATTCTGAACATGTTTATTTAGCAATCGAGAAAAGATTGAAAAGATAGTTAAGACACTTAATTTGAAAATTTTACCACGAGATATGAGATCGAAGGATACACGTGCTTTGTTAATATCAATGTTCAATCAATGGTTACCATTGTCGAAAGCTATTTTGCATATCCTTTACTTTTTGCATTAAATCTAGTACAACAGGTTATATGTTCCGGACTAAAAATCTTTAACTTATCACACTAACCGTCATAGAACAGCTTCCAAATCCCGTATCCGCGCAACATTTGCGTCTACGAAGAATGCTATATCCTAATACAGAAATGGCGGAAAAACCTGCGAATGAAATTGAGAAAGCTTTGTATAGTTGCGATTCTAGCGATTCTGCACCTATTATTGCCTATGTTTCAAAAATGTTTGCTGTTCCTTCAGATATGCTACCAGAGAATAAGAGAAAACAATTAACAGTAGAAGAACTGAGGGAAAAAGGAAGGGCTCAAAGAGAAGCTCGTTTACGTGCTTCAAATGATCAATCCGAAGAAACAATTTCTGAAACATCAACGATTTCATCCTTAAATCAAACAAATTTGGTATCGACAGAAGCCATTGAAGAATCTGTTAAAATGAAAAATTCCTTTTTATTGGACGAAAATGGTGAAGTTGCTCAACCAACACCCGCAAAAGAAACTTTTATAGGTTTTGCTCGTCTTTATTCTGGAACTATCCGAATTGGTCAAAAACTATTTGTTTTAGGACCAAAATATAATCCTGATTTTCCAGATAGATTTTGTTCTGAAGTTACTATTCAGAGTCTTTATCTAGTGATGGGGCGAGAGTTGGAAGCTTTACAGAAAGTACCAGCTGGTAATGTTTTTGGTATTGGTGGACTTGAAGGTCATATCTTGAAGAATGGTACTTTAAGTAGTACTAATAAATGCAAAAATCTTGCTGGCGTTGCGATGGGGGTTAGTGCACATTAATATAATATGAAGGAATTTCATTGGATTGAATATTGTAATTTCTTATCTTTTTTTTTTTAGTCTTCACCAATTGTTCGAGTTGCCCTTGAGCCCGTGGAACCATGTATATATTTCTTTAAATTTCTAAGTGGTATTTTTCTTCGTATATTTGAAATTATAAATTGATTAAATACAACTTTTTATCATTTTTATAGCCGAAATAGGAAAGCTAACTGAAGGACTTCGCTTGTTAAATCAAGCAGATCCATGTGTTGAAGTTCTTGTACAGGAAACAGGTGAACAAGTAATTTTAACGGCCGGTGAAGTACACCTTGAGGTTTGTTTTCAGTAAACTTGAATATTTATTTTCTTTTATGTATTTATGATAAGGTAATTAATTACTTGCAATTTCAATTTAAAATTTTTTTAAAGCGTTGTTTACGAGATTTAAGAGAACGTTTTGCAAAAATCGAAATTCAAGTTTCTTCTCCTATAGTTCCGTTTAGAGAAACAATAGTTCCTATTTCAGGTATTATTGGTATTTAGCTTAATTTTTAAGTGGATAATTAATTTAATAATTGATATTTATAAATAGATATTCATTCGAACAAAGAAAAAGATAGTGGTCAACGTGGTTTGGTTACGCTTTCAACGCCGAATAAATATTGTACTATCAAAGTGAGGGCGGTTCCGTTGCCACCAAATGTTACCACATTCCTTAGCAAAAACGCTATCACTATCAAGTTCATTTTAGATGAACGCCAACAACGTAATAAAAATCGAAACTCAATCCATAGAAGAGGAAGAAGATACTCTAAAGGATATGGCTTTTAAAGGGGAACGCATTTTAGAAATAGACGAGTTTTTTGATCAATTGGAAGCAGAATTTAATAAAGTTGATGATAAAGAGATTTGGAAAGGTGTTATAGACAAGTTTGTATTATTCTTTTTTTTTTAAAAAAAAATTTCATTCATTTCTTTTTTACATTATGACTGACTTCACTTAATTAGTATTTGGGCGTTTGGAACCAAACGTGTTGGACCGAATTTATTAGTAAATCATGTACCAAATTATGAACGGAAATCGTATCCTTTAATTTAATTTTCCTTCTTATTAACATAATAGATATATATTTTATTAGTTCTTAACCATATATTTCGATAGATGGAGGAAAATTTGCAGTGCATTGAAAGTTTTTGAAGCGGTCCATCCAGAAGTAAATGAAGATGATTTTCTTCATGAAGAACGTACTTCATATAATTTATCGATCCGTGATTTTGTTGAAGGAATTCATACAGGGTTTCAACTTGCCACAAAATCAGGCCCACTTTGTGCTGAACCGTTAATGGGAGTGTCCTATTTTTTAGAAGATTTCACGATAAATATAGATAGCAATAATTTGGATATATCTGAAAGTTTGTAATGAACAGTCTTGACTTTGGTCATTGTTAAAAAAAATTTATAATTCATATTTATTTTACTTTTTGTCAGTACGAAATAAATTAGGTGGACAAGTTATTACTACAATGAGAGACGCATGTAATAAGGGATTTTTAGAATGGTCTCCAAGACTAATGTTGGCTATGTACTCCTGTGATATTCAAGCAACTGGTAAGTATAAATAACTTTTAACTTATGTATTTGAATTCATTTATCTATATTTTACTGATGACAAAAAAAAAAAAAAAAATAGCCGACACTTTAGGTCGTGTATATGGTGTAATATCAAAACGTCGAGGGCGTATTATTTCCGAAGAATTAAAAGAAGGAACTCCATTTTTCCATATTTTTGCATCACTACCTGTAATAGAGAGTTTCGGATTTGCTGACGGTATGTGATCATTATTTTTCTTTTTTTCCTAGTTTAATATGTATATTGATATCCATTAAAACAGAAATAAGGAAGCGGACTTCTGGCACGGCTAGCCCACAACTAATCTTTAGCGGGTAATTAATTTACATTTGGTTTAATCATTCCTTGTGATTATCAATCTAAATATTTTATGTGATTCTAGATTTGAGATGTTGGATGAGGATCCGTTTTGGGTCCCAACGACTGAAGAAGAGCTTGAAGACTTAGGAGAAAAGTCTGATAGAGAAAATCTTGCAAAGAAATATATGGAAGATGTAAGAAAACGCAAGGTAAAAAACAATTAATGACTCAAATGGAGCACATAATGAATTTTATAATAAATTAATATAAATCTTCATTTATTTTTACTAGGGAATGTTTATAGATAGGAAAATAATTGAGCATGCAGAAAAACAGCGAACATTAAAAAAGAAGTAAAAGGAATTAATTAATAATCCATGGAAAATCTTAGCGATTCATATTTTTTACAACCATAATTTATTTATTTATTAAAGATCGAATTATGTAGAAATTGTGGTTATTATTGTAATGTTTATGATAGATTATTTATACTCTCAAATTTATGATAAAACAAAAAATATTATGAATTGTGGTATTATAGTATCTTAGCAATTCACTGTTTTTCCTACTAAATACATGCTATATCAAGTTTACTCGATGAAAATTAATTATGCAAAAATGTATTCTTCCCCTAATGGGAATTAAAATTGAAACATCAGCTTCTTTTCATTCGTATATTTCACGTGATTAAAGTTTACCCAATTTGATGACTTAAGCAAGAGAGAACACCCCCTAAAAAGTTCATAACTTTGTAATAAATAAAGTTCAACTCAAAATATGATAGATCTTTTATTTTATCCTAATGAAACAGATATCACATTATGAATCATATGATTTACTATTTTGATTAAAAGCTAGATGAACGGGACATTGCCATGAGAAAAATGCCAAACAAAGAACCTCAAAATCTTAAAAAGTTAATGTTATCTTTTCTGATTAGGCTTTCATTTTATCATCGAACATGAATGCGTAGAAATGGGATCTAGTAGTGAACAGGTTCCTTTCTTACAATGCTGTCTCATCATAATTTTTTTTTGATTTAGATGGTAACCACAACTCAAAAATCTTTTTAAAACTTAAAAAAACAAACATCATGAATAAGGCTATACTCACAAGCCTAAAAAAAGCCACCATTAGTTGTTTACAAGATTGATTTGTAATTTATTGATAAATTTTGCTGTCAAAGAATCTGCAAAACGCGTTAGCCAACTTCATTCGTTAAGATCCTTCTAATAAAACATGATTTTGAAAATATTTATTTGGCTGACATAATAATATGACTATCAAAAATTATTTTCTGACGTGTTATTAACCACCAACAATGCTATTTACATAAATAATTGGATTTTTATTACTTTAAGCATATATTGTTGTATTCTATTCTTATTTCTCCAAGTAATAAACCTATTTCTGATAATGGACGAAGGTGCAATTTATCGAATTTTCTTTCAACGTTTCTTATTTAAAAACAAAAAATTTCATTAAGCTGATGTCTTATAAAATCTTACGCACTTCGGATTTCTATAGAACAAATCATACGTGATAGACTTTCTGTTGAAGAGAGAAACCTCCGCCGCGTTACTAGGAAGCATGTCGCTTTAATGAATTCCTTGGAACAAGGAAACATTAAAGATGCGTATGTACATGAACACTCCCTTTAACTTGTAGCCCTTTTTTTTTTTTTTTTTTTTTTTAAATAAAATTAAGCCTTTTTCATTTTGTAGACGACAACAGTTTAATGATTTCATGGTCGATTTCTCGTCGTATGAACTTACCCTTACTCGATTTCAAGCGATTCATGATATGAATTTGCAAGAAACACAACATTGGAACGAAGAAGCTCGAAGAATTGGTATATTTTTCACCAATTTCATTTTCAATTTATCAGAAAATATTCTAATAGAAATTTTGTTTATATAGAACAAGAGATTGAGCAGACCATGTTGGTCATCAAGAATTTGGAGAAAGATTTGGCACAAGAAGAAGAAATACGTAGAAATAAAACAGAATATGATCAATTAGCAGTTGAAATCAATGAACAAAAAACTCGTGAGGAATCATTAAAGTAGCTAAATTGATATTATTTAATTCATCCATTTTTAAACAATCGTAAATTTTATGATGGGACTAATTACATTCAACCCTTTTTTTTTATTAAAAAAAAAAAAAAAAAAAATTCCAGTGCGATTGCAAAATTAGATGAAGAAATACTTTCGCTTGAAGAAAAAGATAGATTATTAGACGAAACATTAGATCGTCGTAGATCACAACTTCAACGTATACTAACAGTAGTACAGGAAGTACAAAGCGAGATTGTAGTAGAAAGAGAACAAACCCCTCAAGCTATTGGTGACGAGGAAGAAGCTGTTACAACACCTGATTCTATGAGGAGTGAAATCGTTTCACCGATTAATAATCCTTCTTCACCCGCTGAACAGGATAATAGCAATAATAGCCCTCCACAAGTAAATGGTATTAACGGAATCAATTCATCATCTACTAGTAATATAGCAGATGATGAAGGAAGTGATATTCATAGGAATAGTAGGAACAGTAGGAATAGGAACGATGATGAAAATAAACAACAAATTTCTCCACAACTACAAAGTCAGGAAGTCAGCTCTTCGGATAATTTAACTGAAGTTGGTGAAGAAGTTGGTGAATTGGTTGGTGAATTGGTTGCAGATGAAGAGGCAGAGGTTCGTAATGATGACGATGGTGATGGTGATGATGATGATGATGCCTCAACAATTGAAGATTCACCTGATGAGGCAGAGTTGAATCAAAATGTCGAAATTGAGGATCTGGATGATGGGGATGTAGTAACAAGTGATAATGAAAAGAATACCGTAAAATTTGAGGAAGAGAATAATGATATTCCTTTGCATAGTGATGATGGTGATGGTGAAATTGTGGAAGATTCAGATGAAACCCCAAGGGGTGAAAAAAGAAAGAGGAGTGATGAGGAGGATGATGACGATGATGATGATGAGGAAGGTTTAATAAAAGAAAAGGTTCCTCGATTATCTGACGATGATGAAGGATTAATAGAAGAAAGCGAAGAGGACGAAGGGGTAGCAATTAAAGATGAACAATAATTAATAATAGGTTTGTAATGTTTGTTATGAAGTATATATACTTGGTATAATTGTTTTTCTCAAAGTTTCCTAGTTATCTTAATTCTTAATCTTTTTTATTTTCCAGACAAATATCGAGTTGTAATTATTTATTAAATTAACAAAAGAATAAAAAAAAAATAAATAAATAAAATATAATTCTAAAACTTCCGAAAACTTGATAATTCATGTATTTTATAATAATCATACACTTAATTTAGAAACAATTAGCTCACTGTATATATCGCATTAATCAATATAATAACCAAATAGAGATTTATTAAATTTATTTATAACCTAATTAATACCTTAACAAATTAAGTGCGATTTATTTCTTTAAATCTTCCCAAGTAACAGTCTTTTTACCTGACATTGTTTTCTGTTTCACTACAATCACATTATCAATATCACAATCTTCATTGTTCTTTTTAGATGACCTCTTTAAAGGCGTTAAATTTTTATTGTAATATAAAGCCTAAAAAAAAAAAAAAAAAAAAAAAAAAAAAAGAATTTTTAATGAATATCAATGTTAAATTCATGAATAATATTAAATCTTTATTCTTACCCGATTGGGGACGTATGTAATACCATTTTCTTCTAATAACGTTGCGATTTCTCGATCTTCCGGCGTTTGATGTTCATCATCAGAATACGAAATCTTGTGAAATCTTGCGGATCGTCTCACAGGTGTTATAACTCTTTCAACTCCTAATTCTACATTGACGACAGGTATAAATTATTATTATGATGCATTCATCGAACAACGATGATTAAAAATTTTCATACCCTCTCTTTCCTTCTTTTTTGCTTTAACTGTGGTTAATAAAGTCAAAGAAGAATCAATTGATTTAGGAGTTTCTTGTTCAGAATTATCATCTTTTCTCGTTTTTCTCTTCGGTTTAATATTGAACGATAAATCATTCAAAGCTTCAACTAAATCCTGACCTTCATTGATATTGTTACGACTTGTTTGCGATTGTTCGTTGAATTCGTCGTTTTCATGAAATATGCAACTTTCATATTCAAGTAAAGCTGACAAGTCGTCATCTAACAAATAATCATTATCATCCAAATAATAATTATTTTCGTCAGAACCATCTTGATAATCAATTAACTCTTCATGTTCTAGACTCGGAATTGATTCGAACAAGGAACCTAAAAATAAAACAACGACGATTTTTTAGGAAAAAGAATTTTATAAAACGCGCTAAATATTTGTTATATACATATTCTGGCCAAGAATTTCTCCCGTTCCTCCTTGACTAACTGGACTGGCTGTTAAAATTATAAAAAATCATTATTTAATTTAAAGGTTCGGTACATCTTGAAAATCTTAAACCATACCTTTGCGTTAAGTTCTTCAGCCTTCTCATATAATCGTAAAGCCTCTTCATATTGCATACAACGTTCCTCAAATTTAGCTCTTTCGATCCAATATTCAGCTTTTTCACATGGTGGAATTCTCTCCTTCAAACTTCCAACCTTCTTGGAGTGAGAAGGCCAATCTGCTTCTAAAATATAAAACATCGCTCGTGCCAACAACTCTGATCCCGTCTGAATAATAAAGAATGATAGAATGATTAATTAAACTAACGTGCTGAAAGATAACGATTTTATTATCAGGCCATCCTTTTTTAAAAAAAAATTACCCAGGCTACATGAACGGCATCTTTGATGGAAAAAAAAGTTATAGTTGGGATTGGAACGACTTGTTTATATTTGATATCATATGTATCAGGATCATACACGATTAACACATAATGTCTTGTCCACTTGGTAAAGTCACTATAATTCAAATTCATTTGTTATTTCAAATACATACTTTAAAAACACTTTGTTAATGTAATTACTCACGGTTTAAATTTTTTTGTCGAATCCTCTTGATTTAACAAAAAAGGTGATGTTTGTATCGAAATGTCTTTAAAGAAAGGTGACATCGCTTTGGGAGAAACACTAGTTTTTTGTAATTCGGGCGTTTGACAATTTTCGGTAATTGAAGAACCTTTTTCCATAATTATAAGTTCATTAACGCACTTGTCTTCTCTTTGCTCGGTGAAGGAATCATCGACACTTGATTCTTTAGCTTGCGAAAAATCTAACAATCTACCAGCTTTCTTAACCGGTGCTTTAAAAGGTGTTGACGCCAAGATAGAAAAGAAGTGTCTTGCTTTAGCACCATCATTACTATTCTCTTCATTTGTTGTATCACTTGTATAGTCTGATACTTTAGGTGAAAGAAATTCGGAATCTTCATTATCCTCATCTCTTACAACTTTAATTCTTTGAGCTTTTCCAAATGATGAAATTACAGGGTTAACAGCCGGAGAACGTTTAGATGTCAGTCGTGTTAATGTTGGTAAACGCGACGAAGAACTGGTAACATTATCTTTAGAATCAAATATGAATTTACTACGTCGAATACTATTTCCTAACGGTTCTTTAGTGAATAGTTTAGTCGATGGAGGAGTTTGTGATATTTGTGGTGTTGTGTAAATTTTAGGTGTTGCTAATTTCGTTATTGGTGTTTCCTTAACCTTAGTAGCATCATCGATTTCGTTTGAATTCCCCTTCATTCTTTGAGTTTTTCCAAATGTTGAAATAAGAGGGTTTGGTGTACCTTTGTGTGAAACTCGCAATAAAGATTTTGAAGGTGAATCGGCAGGAATGTTATACACGTCATTTTCCGCAGACGACATTACGCGTTGACTTTTTATATTATTGACGATCTCATCAGGATTTTCATTAGTTATTGGTTTCACACTTACTCTTTGAGGCTTTCCAGATACTTTAATTACAGGGCTCAAAATTTTTGAAGGTGAATTAGTAAAAGTGGTATACATGTCACTTTCCGCAAACTTTACACGTTGACTTTTTTTATTGTTGACGATCCCATCAGTATTGTCAGCTATTTGTTTTACCATTATCCCTTGAGGCTTTTCAGATACCTTAATTGCGGAGCCCAAAGCTTTTGAAGGTGAACCAGCAGGAGTGCTAAACATGTCGTTTTCCGCAAAAGTCATTAAACTTTGAATTTTTTTACCATTAACGATCCCATCAGTATTATCATGAGTTATTGATTTCGTTCTTATTCTCTGAGGCTTTCCAGATGCTTTAATTGCAGGGCTTGAATATATCGAGGAATGTATCTGACTAGGTAATTTATTTTTCCCCTTTTCAGTTGGTTGATTTATTGAGAATGAATCCGACTGATCTTTATTATCAAAGGGTTCCAAAGTAACCAATGATGTATCTTTGTGTTGGACTGGAATTGACAATGAATGTTTAATAGAATGTCGAGTTTGATATTTATTTAAATTTGATTCATCATTTTTCAACGGTGATTGCAAATAAGCATCCGCATTTTTTATCTCGGTTTTTATTATAGTGTGGTTTAAAGGATGTTTTTCTTCAGCTTTCTTTTTTATAACTGGCTTATCCTTCCCTTTTTTATTCCTGTTCAAAAAAAAAAGAGCCAAATTAATAAGGTATTTTGATTTTAACACTTTTTTAGTAAAAAAAAAGAACACGTAAAACTTAACTGAAACTTTTGTTTTTCTGCCTTTTTGCGTTTAAATTCTTCTAACAAACGACGACGTTCTTCTTGTTGATTAGTAGTATTTTGTTGCTGTTTCAAATGTTTTTGAGTAGTATTATTTGAAGGAATTAATGTTTCTAATCGAGAAGTTGTCGCATGATTATCAAGTTTGTCGTTTTTCTTTTTATTCTCCTTATTCATTCTATATTTTTTTTGATACAACGACAACGGTAGTCCTTTTATTTATTTATTTATAATTTTTTTTTATTGAAAAGGTAAAAGTGTTCGCTTCAAGACGCGTAATAATAGTAAGTCTAATAAAATCTATAGCTGAATACTGTTGTTGAGTGGGAACGAGAAAAAACGCGTATAAAACCAACTCCTGAAGCAGCAAGTCATGTGATATGCAAAGATTTCAGCCAATCACGTTGCTTAATTCGAAAAAAAATAAGCATGTTTCTTTGGGAAGAAATTATTTTTTTAGGTCGCGTTCAATAATGGAAAGGTTTATTTAAAAATCCTCTTGTTTTGCAAATTTAAAGAAACATTCATTTGTGAAGAAAAAAAAAAAATTTTTTTTATTTTTGATTAATGACTGGTTGCTTTAATAGGATTACAATTTAATAAATATCACCGTTTCATTAAAGATTAGATGGAGAAGCATCTTGAAACATTTTTAAATCTTTGTTTACAAATCACGATTAAATTATTTATTGAGAATACTGCGCATGATAACTGCGCCGTTAAATTTTGATCACTTCACCAAATCTAGATAACAAAGGTATTCTTTGTGCATGATAAGTTTAATTCTTTAGTAACAAAAAAGGTTTATGGAATATCTCACCTACAAATAAAAATGTAAGGATCTTATGGATTCATGTTTTTTTTAAGAAAAAATAACGGTAAATAATAAAAAGGGTGAAATCATTTTGACGGCTAGGAAATTTAAATGTATAAGTAAGGATAAAATTCTGTCCAAAGGATTGAACTGCCAAAAAAAAAAAAAATAAAATTCCTCATTTCCCGTTTGCTGATTATCAATCAAGACTAAAGAAGTAAATATCTTGAAACCTTTTTTTAATTATGAATCTATAATGAAATAACGATAAAATTATAATTCCTTATAATTTTTTTTTTTTTTCTTTTTCCAAGTGTTTATTTCAGATCGCCGCAATTTTTTGAAAAGAAAGACCGATCGACATCACATGACCTTTCCCTTTTTTATCTTACGGTGTTCCCTTCTTGCTTGTTCCTTAAAAGTAAAAAAAAAGTGCCATTGAGATAGTTTTTTCAGAAGTGTGACAAAGGAAAAACGACTACGCCTTTGTCCAAGAGTAAATTTATTATATTGATTTACGAAGACTTTGTTGAATTTAAGGTAAAAGAGAAATAATCCTCTTGACAATTCAAGTATATATAGCACGGAACAAGACATTGAAGGTAAAATTTTAACCCAACGTAATTTCATCTCCATTTTTTTTTTGAACAAAAAAAATATTTATTATAAGAAACATCAAAATCACGTACTCACTTAGTCCGATCGCGTGTTAATTACAATTAACTTGAATTTTCTTATTGGTAAGATTTTTTTCGGCTTAAATTTAATATGTAGGCCTTTCATCAATGCGAAAATTCTGATAATCCTAATCGGGTCTCATTCAAAAATTAAGGGTGACTGATATTAAATATTAAAAGTGATTACTGCATTTTTTTTTCCAAATAGTTAATCCGAAACAGCAAATTGAAAAATTCTTGGTAAATTCACGGCATACATTAATTACACTTTTAGCATACAGCATATACGCGTGCGTGATAAATTGTTATTTATTACTTATAAATCATTAATTTAATTAATTCACTAATTAAAATCATTATTTATTTAAATATTACTAAATATACTCCCATTAAACCCTTAGGTAGACCACACACGCATCACACAGCACATGCGCAAAGAACCATTCATTCCTTTCATAAAAAAAAAAAAGAACGCGTGGCTTTTTTTTTTTGATTACAATTCCTTTTTTGGTAAGAAAAAAGAAAAGGAAAAAATGTTTTTCCCATTCATCTTCCAATGATACGAAAAATTGAGAACTTCCTTGTGATAAGTCGTTGTCTAACTCGTATTATTTACCTACCATGAAGTATTGAATTACATATTATTAACCAAATATTCGTTCTTTGACGACAGTTAAAACAACCGTGTACCGCAGTAAATCTCAGATTGATGGTCCGATCCGTGTTATGTCAACAAGTAGGACGGGTGACACAGTTTAATAAATTCATTGTCTACGACATATTTCTTTATCTTTGAAACTAACTAAAACCAAGAATACTTTAATGATTGTAACAAATATTTTCGATTAGAAAACATCTTTTTTTCATTTGCTAATAATTTCCCTTCAAAATATTACGTACCTTAAATGATCGTGAAACTCACAAAACAAGGAAGACGGTTAGGTAAGTAAATACCGTAACAATTTATTTTTATCTTTTTGAAAAAAAAAAAAAAAAATAAAAATAAAAAATAAAATAAGCATAAACAATGTCATAAACTTTTAATACTTCTCATACACCTTCATACATAAATGCAAAACATAACACAAAAATCAGGGATATTTTTAAAACAAAGAAAAGAAAATCTCCTTGTTCCCATTAGTTACAATTTTTTTTTAACTTTTACAATGAAATTTCAGCAAAAGCAACGTTACAAATAATAACGCTAAAAAGGTGGTGAATTATTTGATGACATTCAAACATTCGATATCATTGGAATTACACTTTGTAACAACATATTTGCTGATAAGAAAAAAAAAATGTGTATAAATATTTACCTTTAGTACTACACAAATTATTAATCATGACAAGGATGTTCTTTTAGTTGTCACACAAAACAAAAACTTGGGATTAACGTGAGAACTCACCCCGCAAAAAAAAATATCTCGTCATAGTTGATATTTCCTCAAAGAGAAAAACTTCCAAAAAGGTTTTATTTAATCAGGATTCCTCTCTTATTGATTCTTGTGTTCTTGTAGGCCCAAAGTGGGTTCATTCATCATGTATTGATCTACCAGTAATAATTAAGCTCCGTCAACTATCGACGGGGAATCTTTTTTTGGTTATAAATAATTCTTTAAATTTAGAAACAAAATCCCAAGTTTATTTTTTTTTTTGCGACAATCTTACTTTTATTTTACAAAGAGGAACATTTACAAAGAAATTCAAGGAAAAATAATTTTGTTCTTTGTTAATAAAAGAGAGATAATGTAACGTTTTACGATGTAAATCTCGAATTTTTAAGAATAAAGTTGTTAATTAATGTGTAAGAAAATTGCCACATGGCAATTATTAGTTGCCGAAAATGAACAACAAACCCTTAAAAAAAAATACATGCTCCACTTTATTTTTTTAGTTGCACGGAATACAACCTAAACAAAGAGGAAATCATATTTCCAAATATGTCGGACAGTATTGATGAGATATGTTAGGATACATTAAAAGTTTATGGTACAAAGACTTGTTTTATGATTATGATAAACTATCAAGTTCATTATTATAACCTTCTGTTTAATTGGATCGTCGTTTTAAAGGGTGACAGTTAATCGCAAAAAAAAAACTATAAAAGAAAGTGGAATTAAAACTCCAAAATTCTCATCCAATTTTTTTGCATAATCATTTCAATACAATACAATTTCTTTTTTTTTTTTTTTTTTTTTTTCTCACTTTTTGCTCTGCGAGCGAAAAACTTTTTTCAATTAAAATAAAAACGAGTAAAGTTTTCTTTTTTTCTCAAACATCATTTCAACTTTTTTCTCAATAAATAAAGATGACTTCAACCACAGTTCAAGAAACACAAGCTCTCTCTCCCACAACTACAATAACTTCTTCCGCTTCTGAAAATAATTCACCAGTAACAAAATTTAGACAAATAGCTCCAGCTCCAACGGAAAAACCTGAATATGACGTTTATCATATTCCAAAAGGTTATGAAGTTTTATTAGTACCAAAGAATAATAATAACTCTGATGGTTCAAATAATTCGAATTTAGCGGATAATCCTGTTCCACTTTCTCCAACTTGTTCCTCTTCCGCTTCTTCAACTTGCTGTTCTTCCCCTAAATTTAACATTCCAAAGTTAACTTTAGATAATAAAAGTTCGGCTCCAAGTTCATGGAGAAGGAGAAAAAATAATGGACATATCCCACGTCCTAAAAATTGCTTTATGGCATATCGTGAACAAATGCAACATAACATTTTAGCTGAAAATCCCGGAATGAATAATAAGGTGGTTTCAGTTATCGCTGCTAAAATGTGGAACAGTGAACCCGAAGATGTTAAACAATACTGGAGAGAACACGCTCAACAATTGAAAATCGAACATATGAACAAATACCCTAATTATAAATTTTCCCCTAAAAAGAAGGCACAAAAAAACTTGAATGCTTTAAACGCTTCTATCGGTTTAAAAGCTCCTAAAAATATTCAAAAGAAATATCAATCTCAAACTCAAATCCTTTCAGAGGAACTTTCAAGAAGGAATGTTGAAAATTATTTAATTGAAAATTCTCATAATGAAAGTCCTTCAGCCTTTTGGAACGGTCATTACAGATCGAGTTCTGTTGAATCTGCCGGTAGTTGGACTAGCAATGATTCCATTCCAAATACTCCTCCTACTTTTTGCGATCGTTCTTCTCTTCGTTTTGAGTCAAATGATTGGAATAGAATGTATGATGGTTTCTCTACTATGAATATTGATCCTTCAAATTCACATTTAAATGCCGTTTCAAGTGCTGCTACTGGATTCTTTGAAACTTTGTTGCCTTCTGATTTTAATAACTCGATGCAGGTCGATAGTTCAGAAAGTTCTTATTATATTACCGAAGAAGAAGATGATTATGAAGACTTTCTCCAACATGATAACAGTCATCTTTTGAATACTTTTGTTTTGTCCTCTCAACCTTCTGCTCCTTTGCATCAGCTCTATTGAATAATCTGTCCGCCCCAGATTAATTTATAACTTGTTCGATTTTATTTCACCGAATCGCTGGACGTTTCTTAAATATTTACAACTCGTTGGTATTTTATTGAAAAAAAACTTTCGCTCACGAGAAAAAAAAAAAAAAAAAAAACCGCGCAAATATTTGGACCCTTACATATAGATAAAACAATATAGACGAAAAAAAAAAAGACATTTTTCGTAAATACACTTGTTTATAATTTTTTCATTTCTTGCATTTCAAAAATCACTTCAAAAAAAAAAAAACAGAAATATCTTCTTTGTATTTAATTTCGTTTTCTTTATTTTATACATAATTTCTTGTTATACTATAGAATGTGAATTTCTTTTCCCCTTTTTTTACCCATCTGTATTTTTTCCTCACCATATAGAGTATATATTCATAGACTTGATGAAAAAAAATATTTACATTTTATTTTTTCATCGTATTTTTTATCATCTTTTGCATAAACACATTGTAATTAACATATAGACTTTAAATAGCATTTAGCATACACTCATTTTGCATTTTACATACATAGCATTGGCATAGCATTGTTTATACTTTTAGCATCTGTATCATTCTTAGCAATTTTTCATTTCATTTCATTTTCATTTCATTTCATTTCATTTCATCTTTCATTTTTCATTTTGCATTTTTTCATTTTTTTTTTTTCATTTTGCCATTATTTTACATTTTTATTATCACATTTTTAAATTTTTAATCTTTATTACATAGCATCCTTACATATTTCATGGGACCATTTGTATTTAAATACTACGTATATTATTATATTTTAATCATTCCACAAATTAAGAAACAACAAATTTTAAGTTAAAAATTCTGCAAACGACTGGTCACAAAAAAAAAAAAATTCCAAAAAAAAAGACCATAGTTAAAATTAACCTAGTATATAAATACAAATTAAAAAAAATAATAATAACAAATATATATAGTTTTTTAGGTAGTGTTTTTCTTTTAGAGGGTTGTAGATTTCTTTTCTTTCATTTTCATTTATATATATAATATCTACAAAAAAAAAAAAAAAAAATTTAAAAAAAAATAAATTGAACGATTACTTTTTTCTTAAAAAATTTTGTTTTTCATTTAATTATTTTTGTATTGAATTTACTAAGTTCGGAATAACGAATGATCATAAAACCCTAACTATTTTATATTATTAATCATAATTGCGAAAATTTAGCATAGACATATATTTGGGAATAAAAGTACAAAGACGTCCCTTATCATCATCTTTCAAATTTTTTTTAAGCATTTATTTGTAATACATCTGACAGTAGGAAACTCTGTATGATCAGCTCCTTCAACTGCTAATTCAAAGGTTTTAATTAGTTTATCACCCGAGAAGTCATTAACTTGGTATAACTTGAACTTATCTTTCAATGAATCTAGAGTAACGTTGTCACTTTTACTGTATAAATTCTTTCCAACAGTCTTCAAGCTCATCGTCATCTCATGACCATAATTAACTTTCCATTAGGAAAATCATGACCCACTTGGTCCTTTTACCCATCGATTATACACCAGACATCTGGTTCTTCCGCTCTGAAGGATAAATCAATACCCTAACATTTTCATAATCTACAAAACTTATTTTTTCCTCTTAAAGGAGCACTACAAGCATTAACCTTTCAAAGAAAGTTTTTCGATACCTGGATTGCCAGTAATGAGGTATCGCTTGAATTTTGTGCATTTAGTATATAAAATTACATAAAAACTTGTAACATTCTCGTTTTAATAATAATTTATAATATAACTTCGAAAGATTTTAAAACTATAACTACTCTCTTATTTCATCATATTATTTTTAAAAATTTAAAAATAGAATCATAAATATCTACATAATTATTTTTCTTTAATTTCAAGCGTTTTGGCCAATTACGATCTAAATCTATAAAAAAATATTTAAAAAATGGCAAATTATGTAAAAATTGTGCGAGAATTAGAAGTTGCAAAAAATATGTTTGAAGAGGCAACGGAGGAGTTGAAAAAGTGGGTAGAGGGGAAGTATCAAGGAGAGAAGTTGAACGAGTTGGAAGAGGAGAGAAGAGAAGGGACAGGCTGGTAAAATTTAGTGACGATGAAAATGAAGTTGGCTGATGAGGTGGTGAAGTGGGGAGACGCATTAACAGAATCAGTAAAAAAAAAGGTTATGAACAAATAGCATAAAAAAAATATACAAAAAATTATTTTCCATTTCATTCATTTAATTCCGTTTCGTTTGTTTATTGATTTATTTGAGTGAATATTTTGTATACTGTTTCAACTTTAACTAACACTTTATTTCTTTTATTTGTGAAACGTAAGTCTGAAGTAGAATTAGAAAGTGAAGGTAATCTCACTTTCTTTTCTAAATTTTGATGTATTAAGACATTTGCAAAACAAATTATGTCTTTATTACCAAAAGATGTTGATAAACATGCATTAAATCGTATTAAGAAGATTAAAAAGACCACATCAGCTTTTGCCTTATCACAAAATTGGGTTGAAGAGTTGGATAATGATGACCCGGCTTTTTTAAATTTTTGTCCACCAAAAAACCATGATATACCAATTTCCTTGTACCATGAAATTTTTGGAGAATTTTTAAAAGATTGTAAAGATTTTAACATAAAAAATGAAGACAAAAACACAGTTTGTGACCTGCTATTTACAATGAGTGGTATTTTTAGGAACCACAATGAGAGAATAGATGCATTCCAAGAATGGGCTAAGAGGTTTGTCAACTATGATACAATATCTTATAAATTCAATAGCAATGGTCAAGAAATTGACAGTGTATGGAGAAAAGAATACAATGAGGAAACTATTTTATTAACCATCTTTAAATTCAAAAATGAGTTTTTAGCAGCTGATCCTTATATGTAAGCAAGTGTATACTATTCTAAATATTTGAAAGAATTATATATCAAAAAATTACATATCCTTCAAACCTGTTTACCAACTTTTCTAGTTTACATTTATGGACCCTATTGGAATTTCTGGTGCAGTTATAGGACAAAACATTACCATTGACCCACTTGTAGAAGGATCATTAATCTTAAGTTATGAAAATGAGTCTTGGATAAATCAGGTAACAAGAGTTTTTTGTGCATTTCGAAAAGCTAATATTAATCTAGATAACTATTATAAAAATATTGTGAAATCAGGAGAGAATCTTCAAACAGAAAGAAATATGAAGAAACAAGCATGTTATTCTTTTTTAAAAAAATATAAATCAATATCTGAAGAATTTGTAGATATAGAGTATATAGATCATATTGATAGTAAAATTAAAAAACTTTTTTTTTGATGAAGAAATCAGAAGTAAAGCATATTCTGAAATTTATTACTTCATACAATGTAGATGTACATAAATTCTGCTTTAATCAAGATTTACTTCAGAACTGATAAAAATTGATAATATTAAAAATACTGACTTCAAATTTGTTATTATGGAATACCTTGATAAATTTAATATTATATCTGATACATAATATAAATTAAATAAGAAAAAAAAGACAGAATTAAAAAAAAAATTTTAGATGCAGTAAAAATAATGTACAATAATAATTTTGTTTACAGTGATCTTTGTTTTGAAAATATAATAGTAAAATTAAATACAAATGGAAACTGGATTGTAAAATTTATAGATTTTGATTGGATTGTATATAATAGAGAAGCAGAATATTCACAATTTCTAAATAAAAATATTCCTTAATATAATGATATAAAACAACTTGGTAAAATATTTCTCGATCATAATAATCATTTAATAGATTATTACTTTAATAGATATAGATAATTCCTATAGATGATTACATATTATAAATAAAATTTAGCATAATATTATTCTTTTATTATTAAAAATTTAATAAGAATTTGCTTTAAAAATATTCCTTTTTTTTATCATGAATTATTATTTGAATATTTAAATTGATAATATATAGTTAAATCCATTTTATTACAAAAATCTACAAAATCAATATAAAATTATATATATATATATAAAATAATAAGTATAATAATTCTAGTAAATATGAAAAGGTAATAAATTTTTTAAAAAAATTTGTATTTATTTATACTATAAAATTATCAACACTTCTTTAAAGTTTTACATTTTTTATTCTCAATATAGACTAACTTAAAAAAAATACTTTTAAAACTTTTCTCAAAATATCTTTTAATAATAGAATATATCTTATTATTTTTTATTAAGCTTTCTTTAATGTTATTCTTTAAATATTTATGCATATATTTTATTTAAAAAAATTTTATGATTTGATTTGTATTTTTTTTTTTTTTAGAAATTAATTTAGATTTTATTAACAAATAATTTATTTATTAATTTAAAGATATTTCTTGCTAATTCATTTTTGATATAACTTTAGTATAGTCAACTCTTAATATAGAGAACTCTTAATATAATGAATTTTTTGAACAAATATAATAAAAAATACTCTTGTTATAATGAAATAACCAATCAAATCTCTTAAAATCTTTACTATAGCCTTATAGCAAACTTGAGGTTTAGAACATAAAATTTGTTATAATAAGAATTAACTGTAATTTATTTATGTGATGGTTGGAGTTCTATACTTTTTTATTTTACTTATAAAATCTTAAATTTTATTTGATTTCAATTACTTAATTATGATAATAATTATTTAAGTTTTCTAATTTTATTAAATTCTTTTTTTACCTTTATTATATTTCTATTCTTTTGAAATTAATGATTTTATTCTAATATTTTATTCATTATTGTGACTTAGTTCTACTCAATTTTATTTTACCTAATTTATTATCAAATATAATAAATTACTTAATTATTTCAACTATTTCTATAGAAAAAATTTTTTTGTTGATAAAATTGCTGTCTTTTTATATTTTATTAATATTTTTATTATTTATATTAAATAAGAGATAAATTTCTTTTAATTCAGCTAGCTTTAAATTATAATTCTTTTTAACTTACTTTAAAGTTCTTTTATTTTTATTTTTAATTTTATAATAATTTACTTTTTTTAATTTCTTTTATAATTTACTTTTCTAGCTCTTTTTTTAAAACTCAAATTTATAAACTAATTATAAAATTTAACTATTTAGATAATTATTGTATATCATAAAAAATTTTTTATTTTTTGATTTTATTCATAATATTTATAAAATAAATTTAAATTCTATTTATATAATAATTATATTTATATTTTTATTATCCCTTAAACTGTAAAGGTTCGCAGGCAAATTTGCCTACTTATTTACTATAAATTCTCTTCTGATTTACTTTTATAAAAAATTAAAATATTTAAAAAATTTTTTTTTTAAATTAATTTTATAAATATATATAATATTATAATAAATTTTATTTTTTAATTATATAA